CGTATGTACTCGGTGCATGAATACACATAATAAGTAGTAAAAATATATCTTACCTGATAATTGAGCCATTTCGCACTCACGAAAAGTAATAATAACAATAACAAGAATAAATAACAATAACGAAAACAACAAAATAACGAGTAACAAGAACAATATCGAACAGAACAAAGGAATCGCACGTGGTACTGTTTAAGCCTGGCATCCAAACTCAAATGATAAAGATTCAGCGCCGCGTTCGTCTACGTCACACTTGGCTTGGCGCTACTATCCACGTTGCCAACTTGACGAGATGTATAGCCAAAATAAGCCTACAAATCTCGAAAATCACTGCATACCTCCACCAACTATTGGTCCCCACCATGGTCGCGTTGTCCCCACTTTCCGGCCGAGGGAAAAGTTATAGCACCGCTGCGCGATATTTAAAATATGTAGTGTCAAATGAGGCAAACATGATCGATCATCCTTGTGTGTGTTAAATTCCTCAATTCTAAACTAATTTCTCAGTCCTCTTCTGTATTTTGATATTCACCGTAACGTCAGTTGACGATTGGCAAGTCTGCAGCGTCTGCAGCAGATCGGTAAGCGAAATGTGGAAAGTATAATGGTGTAGTGCTAAACGATTTTATTTGCGTAATTTTTCTTATCTGTGATTCCTTTATTCGTTCATAAAAGGAGAATCCCGATAAATATGAGGAGTTCGTGTAAATCTCTTCACGTTAATGCTAGACTGCCTTCAGTTTCAATAGTCGACTATGTAAGTAGTCCGGAATGCATAGCGATTAGTGATGATTCAAATGATATGTTCGACTATTATTTCGAGAACGAGGACACTATACACTCTTCTATTAAAAACAGAAGTTATAACCTTGTGAAGGATACAGTTACAGAAAATTCGCAGCAAGATAGTGATGATACAGATAGTGTCATAGAGATTGAAAGCCAACAAAAGTCTACCAACTTCATAAGAACTCAAATGCGAAAGAAAACGTCTAATAGAACGAAATTTTTGCGCACTTTATCAGAAAACGATCATACTTCTAATGGGTCTGGAATAAACAATATTTCAAATAAAACATTAACTGAAGACGCTATAACTATATCTAAACTTTTGTCAAAATATAATTTCAATCGAATATTCGAAGCATTATGTCAAAATAGACACGCAAAAAATTATATAGAACTTACACTTTGGGATTTATTACCTATGAAAAGGCCTCCTGTGCAAAGAATAACTAATGAAAATAATTTTGGTTCACAATTCACATCAGTCGATTCATTAATAGAAGAGGTATTACGTGCCAGTATTTCAGGAGATAATCCTATACAACATAAAGAGGATATTATTGCGGGTACTAAGAGGAAAGTAATTACTACTAATAAAAGAGATAAGGAAGAGAATAATAAAGAGAACAGCATGTTGTTTCAAAATGATGAAAATTGGATCTATGATGTACTGCAATTATACGTAGAATTAACATGTAGATTTCCTAATGTCGACCAGCAGTGGCTAAATAATTTGACTAGAACGTATAAACACCCGAAACAAAATGCTACTTTTGATGAAAAGTTAAAGAATCTGATCAGCATCGTTGAAAAAGACGCTACCGAATTACAATCGGAATATGTTGCCGACATAGACGAAAAGTTTATATATCTATCGAACATTTTTCAAAACGCGGACCCCGATTACTTGAAAAAAGTGGTTGCAAGAACGCGCGGCGATGTCGAAGCATTACAAGAGTTCATCCAAACGCAAATAGAAACGCCTACTTATATAACGAAAGAAGAGAAGTTGAAGCGAAAGAACATCGCAAGATATACTATAAACTTCAATGTGAAACAATTTTTGGAAGCAATTCCGGATCCGATCGAATTCTTTGAAAATCAGAATAGGAAATGTGTATACAATGCGGAAGCATTTGAATTTCTTAAATTCCAGTTTAAACAATTTGAGGTATTTTCATTATTTTTTAAATTCAATATTATGTATCTCCTTTACGTATCAGATGCAAATCATGATTTACACAAACATTTTCAACTTACATCTCGTAGGAAACGACTATAACAGATGTATATACACAAAATAAGTATAATTTAACTTTAACTGCATGTGCATTGCGAACGAAAGTACCAGATAAAAGAAATAACCATGAATCGTCGTGGAAGAAAAAAGCATCGGAAAATATTCCTTTGTTGCAAGAGGTTGCTTATATAGTACGCAAGACGCAAATTGACGAGGAATTTAATAGGTTGAAGGAAATAGAAAGGAAAGAACTCGACTTATTAATAGTAAATTCGTACATCCTAATAGTTGCTGTAGTCAATCACAAAAGTCTCAATACAGTCTAGCATCTAAATCTTATTTGTCAAATTTTTTAAATTTGATGTATATGGATTTCTGTGACTGACCGCACATTGAAAGATGAAAAGAGAAATAGGATGATTGATTTGATTATTTGTTCTAAAAGCGGATGAATGAGTTCTTGGAGTGCCAGTGTTGTTACACTGAATGCATTCCATCGAAGTGTTTGACATGCGACGATGGACACGTATTTTGCGATTTGTGCGTTCAAAGAGGAGCCGAAGTAAAAATGGGACAAGGGACTACACGCGTCTCATGCTTTGATTCCGACTGCACCAGTGAATTCAGTCTCACGACGCTTCAAAAAGCGTTGAAACCGATGGTGTTCAGTCTCCTTCTACGTAAGAGGCAGGAGGCAGAGGTACTGGCTGCTGGCCTGGAGGGTTTAGTTGCATGCCCGTTTTGTTATTTCGCATCAATACCTCCAGTGGAGGATAAAATTTTCAAGTGCCTCAATCCCGATTGCATGAAAGAGTCATGCCGGTAAGTTTATTAGAAAAATATATCAATGATACTTTCCGTTTTTAGAATTAAATATAGACTGAAGTAAACTTTATTTTTTCAAAATTGTAAAGAAATTCGAAGAATTTGTAAATTATCTTAGATATTTATATTTTAGAATTTCTACAGATATGTTTGTTCCTTTCAAATACATATTGTACAAATATGTTCGTTACTTTCAAATAGGTATTGTAAACGAATTAATCATTTACCACTTAAATGCTACGAAGTGCAATCTGACAAAGCTCGCTTACTTCTGGAAGAGAAAATGACAGAGGCACTTGTGCGTAAATGTTATAATTGTGGTAGTCCATATATCAAGGAGGATGGGTGTAATAGAATCACGTGTTCATGTGGCTCAGAGATGTGTTACATATGTGGTATAGCGATCAGTGGGTACGACCACTTCGATCAGTAAGTATCGATGAGAAATGCAATTTTGTCTTTTCCCACTTTTGAACAGCTTTATTATATTTTTTATCAAAAATTCTTTTATTGTCTATGTCTGTTGACTAATAGAACTAACAGTAAGTATTGTTTTGTGTGTTAACATAAAGAAATGGACGTTGTCAGAGGCACAGCGATCCTAATACAGACGCTGCGACGGTACAAGTAGTCGCTAAAAAAGTTGCGCAGCATTTAAGAGAAGGAGACCCAAACGTAGACATAGACCTAAATAGTCTTCTAACGCATATGCCGTTGGCATCTGATGACGTGGCTATTTCGGTAAAATTATACCTTGCATGACATTACGTTAAAAAAGTCGCATATCATAACAATGATATTAAATCCTTTTCTATTTCCAATACCTTTAGGAACGTGTGGAGAAGGTTGCTCAACTGGACAAGTAGTGTTTTAGAACATAGGTTTAATATTATTAAGCTGTTAATAATTATTTAAGAAATACCAAATATTGTTATTTATAAACGTAAGTGCCAAGCAAATTTTATTTCACAGATATATGTATATGATACAGATGTAGGAAGGATTACTCAACAGTTTTGTTTCTGTAACTCGTAATAGCTAATTGAGCATTTCAGTTTTCATTTTATCATTAAATTCTTATCTTTATTTGTATCATTAGGTTTTCTCTCATTCGTTTTTACTTTCTTGTAAATTAAAATAATAAAAAATGTTGACGTATGTTTTTTTATTTATTATTTTATGTATCTGTTTAGTACATTTTAAAAAATAAACTTTCTGTGAATTCTAGACCCTGAATATCTTATCTAATCGTCGTCTCCTATTCTAATATCGATAATCCCTTCCCCTCCATGATAATGCGGAGACGTAGTTATTACGGGCTCGTAGGTAGTAACAGGTATCGGTGAAGTTGCTACAACTTTTCCATCATTATTCGAATTATCCTTCTCATTGTTATTCTTCATATTATCAAAGTCTGTTTTATCAGACATTCCATTACAAGGATTCGGATTATTATTACTCATTTCATTTCGAAATCTGTCTTGCTTCAGATCGATGAGAGTCATCAATTGTGATTCAGTCAGCTCGCTAATTATCTATGAATAATTATGTAAAATATTTTACGTCGTTTAAAACTAATTTGGTTAGAATTGTTTTAAGTTACAAGTTAATTAAAACTCACGATATCGCTCGTTCCTGGGTTACGACAAATCGACGCGAGAGTGCAATCCTGCTTCATTGAGAATAAATTCTCTAACAATTGACAGCGTTGCGATTGTGTGTAATCCGGCTCGCCGAAGCCATGATTGTGATCGTGCACCCGCTTTGGCGGTTGAGGTACGAATCTCCGATTCCAAGCTGATGACAGAGGCGGCCAACCGCCCCAAAAAGGATCGGCGTTCGCCACCGATATTAACAGGAACACAGCTATAATTCCCTTCATCTTTTGAGGAATACGAACGTACCAGATTACCTGAAATGGTCCAAAAGATGAACACAGTAACAATTTGCCACTAATAAAAGTATATATGCGAAATTGAATGATAGAAATCACGACCTGTCGCGATATACTGTGTTACAACGACCTGGTCGTGTAGAACTGACACTGATTTCTCAAGGAGGAAAAGAATTCCTTTTCTTTGTCCCTATAACCGGAAAACCAGGAACGTAAAGGAGCGGCTGTTAAACTCCATGACTCACGCGACTTGTTTCATTGCTTTTGCGCATCTTAAAAATACTGGTTCGTCTTGCATTCATTATACTCTAAAAAAAGTCCTCAAATTCTTTCATGCAAAAGTTAATAACGAATTTACGCATTACTCCATTTTCAAACAGAAAATTTTTCTCCTCCTGCCGCTGTCTGTCTCATCGATTGACCGTATTGCATGAAAGAGATAAATTTATTTACATAACGTGATGCAATTCAAAGGAAATGTATAAAGAGTAATATGTGTGTTGATGAAAGTCATCTCTCATGAAGATAGATAAAAGAAATTGTCTAAACATTTGCGCAACCTTTTAAAACCACTTTTGTGTACATACGTCTTACCTTCGAAATTAACTCCTAGGATTCGTAAGCACTATTAATTATACGTGATCCTCTACCTTCAGAACGACCAGGGCCGTTGTCGTTCGTACAATAATGATATCGACCGAAACAATGCTTTTTAATAGCGAATCATTGTTATTTATTGTGATTTATGTAGATGAGTCGCAATTCATTAACTCGCTCGTGGCATAGGTCGGCGGGTCGGCGATTTGCAAATCCATTGCGATTGAATGAAAACATGAAGAAAGTTTTCTTTAAGTTTGCTATTATCCAGCAAGAATGTCGATGACGAATGTTCTCTATAAAGACGTGAAGCATAAAGCTTAAAATAGAATAAATCGAGTAAAATATCGCTGTTTGATTGACTGTCTTCAAAATTTCGACACGCGACCTTAATTTCTTTCCCATTATATTACATTTATTGTATTTAAATTTTTTCTGAGAAACTCGAGATTCTCAAATTTTATTTATCGACTGTTTGCATTCGAAACGTAGGACTTTCGATTTTTTAAAGTAAACAATAGGAAACGTGGAATGAGACGGTGTGGGAAAGTTCAGGGACGAGGTTGAGGTTTATTTCGCAATGGCTTCGTTCGTCAAAGCATAATCGATTAACGAAATTTAAATATTAATCTTTGCACAGAAGTTCTGCGTAGTAGATGCTTTGCGTGTAAAAAAAAAACTGTATTTTCTTAAAGGATTACAGAAAAAGTAGCAAAAGTAAAAGTCAGCAAAGCGGACGGTCTTTGTTCTCAGTTTTCAGCTTCTCTTGCTCCTTCGAATGTGGAGGATACTCCTTCTGACTTTCGTTATCATTCGGCGTGGGTTCGTTCCGTGCGATCATCAACTGTCGTAATTTCTCGTTATCGTTCTTACGGAAATAAGCTTCCTCTAAAACGAACGTAGTGGTCATAAGGATTGACACCCCAGCGAAGATCACCCACATGATCAGTTCCACGGCTACCTGAACGAATCATCAACGGAACATTCAATTATAAAATAGAACGGCTAATTAAATGAGAAATGATACTCTTATTACGCATCATTCGATACACTATTTTGATACCGTAATAATTTACGGCGTTTCAGTCAGGCGTTGACAATGCCAAAAATGAAGTTTTATTACTGTTCATAAATCGAGTATGGAGGGGTTAATAAATGTCCTGAGGGGATAATTTACTTCTACGACGGCTTTCAGTATGATTTTCAAACGGTCATTGGCGGACACCCATTGCCAGATCATGAATGGCAAGAGTATGACCAGTAGCATCGCATCGAGCACGTGTAATACGATCAGAGATATCGAATGGAACACCGACGATTTCCTCTGCGATTTTTGCCTAAAGTGTCACGTACGATATTTATTATCGTCGACGTATGTTGTCAAATCGTTAATTACCTGTTCTCCGATCTCTCCGCTTTTCCTTGAACCACCGCCTTGCCGTTCTTGCCATTCGATCGATTTTTCATGGTTAACGCCGCGTCGCACATGGTAAACGATTAGAATCAATCAGATGAAAGGATCTCCGAGGGACAATTTCTTTGTTGGTAACATAAAGGACTTTTTCTCGCTATATCTCATTCTAAATTTGTCCATTCGCACAAATTGAACAGCATAAAATGTAATCGAGCCAACGATGACATCGACATTTTTCAACTGTTTTCTACATGTAATTACAGTTTAGGTAAACATGAATAGAAAATGGTTAAACTTTATTCTTCTATAAAAATGGCATCATCTTATCAATCTAAATGATTACATCATTTACATGTTTTATTAAATTAATCACATCATATAAACGTTGAAAAATCTTATATTTTACTAAAAAATCGCGCGATATTACATCATGAATTATTGTTAATTAAATGAACCACTATCGAAATCTGCGGTTTCAGAAACGAATACCTCGCGCTAATACTAAGTTTATATATTTGGTACTTGGAACATTCTTCGACTGCCCCGGCGCTTTCGATCATTATTACACACGCGGCAATTCATTCCTCGTCCCCGAGAAACCGCTTTCTTCTTTTATGGCACAAAAGCGATGCTGACTCAATCGGTTAATTATTATGATAATTAGTCGTCTTCAAGGATCCCAGCGCGCAAACACGCGCCTCGATTACGCCCGTTCGCATAGCCACCGCTTTATCGCGCCTCCGTGCTTCCAGGCTCCCTGAAAAAAATATCTTCCTCATTCTTCTTGAAATTCATACATGAACACGCCGAGATTTCGTGTTATATAATATCAACAATGGTAAGAAAAGAATCACAGGCGTTTCAACAAGTTTCACTTTTTAAAAAAAGGGAAAGTATGTAATTTCAGACAAACTTCATTATTGAAGAACAATCAAGAACGTTTCCATCTTTTTCTGAATTTACAATATAAATGTTTCAGAAATTCATAATCAATTCATAAATTATTGAAGATATATGTTCATAGATTAAGATCCCGATTGTACCTTAGTTCCGATCGATGAACTCAGAAAACTGGTATTAATCGATTACGACGTGGTTTCGGACGAACCGGGAAACCACGATTGCCTATATGATTTCTTGTTCTATACTTCCTAGCCATCTGTTTCCTGTACGTGAACAAGGGCCTGAATACTTTCGAGTCTTGACCCTCCAAGTCCGTCTCCTGACCCTTAATAGATTCGTGTTCTTTCGGTTCTACTTTCGCATCGATGGATCTGTACACTCTGATGACAGATCCTTCGGCTCTCTGCGGCTGCGGCTTGGATTCGTGAACTGGAGGATTTCCACTTTCGATCTGACCGTTCACAACTAAATGTTCCTTCGATTTTCCATAAGCTTCTACCTGTAATTTCGTTAACGATGAAATCGAAGGTATACATGTGTTTTATCCTTCATTATTCTTTCTATTTGCAAACAATATTTTAATCTTTTTGTATGAAAGTGGCATTACTCGGTTATGAATAAATTATTATTATCATTTGTAATAAAAATCTCACCGAGCGAGCAACTCTCATTGCATTCTGCCTTGGAGTTGTATTCTGCAGTTGCATCTCGGCCTGGCTATCATTCAATTGATCCGATTTCGTCGTCGTATATGATTTATATTTGGGAATTTGCTCGTTAACACGAATTTTATCAACCTTGCCGTCAAATCCATGTTGATTTTCAATATGCAGTCTTCTAAATTGGCTGTTTGGTCTAAATCTCTTCGGCACTCTAGCTGGCACGTTTTCCACCGTCCTCAAACTCGCCACAGGAGAACCAGACAGTTCCAGGGCAGACGCATCATGTAATTCCCTTGCATTCACGTCAAAAGACGCTACCACACAAAGTACCTGTAAAATAATATATTAAGAACGGAAAACTGAAGTTATTGTAGCGTTCAAACATTTAAAAAATGATTTCTCTTCTCAAAATTTGAATGAAAAAAAAGAATCGTAGGACACAAAACACTTCTTCTTACCAAAAGCGCGGTCCACATCGTCGTTCAATGTTTCACTTGGCAGTCTGACGTATTGGGACACGTTACCTCCGACACTTGGATCACGATTGAGAGAACAGATTGAACGAGCATCGGTTATATACCACGTGGCGGGTTTCCTGAGGAACGCGATTACAAGCGAGCTACGAAGAGGTGCGAGACTTCCAGTTTAGATGTGAGTCACCTTCGAGAACGACGATCCTTAGGAAAAAGGAAGGGAAAGAGGGTCATCCTGACTCGTTTATCCTTCCCGACTGGCTTCGAAAGTGCGAACACCTTGAATATTTTCTCGCCTGTAGCTTTTAATTCGACGTAGTGTGATAGCGGTACCATTTGTAAATTCTTTTTAGGACCCGAGATTTTTATGGAAATGAGGGATTCTATGCCGAATTGAATTATTCATTTGCCTGATTCAGTCGCTTTTAACTTTAGTATAGAACTGCTGACATTATTTCTTATGGCTTTTTAATGAACATATATAACATATAATTTAACAGCATCATCAATCATCATCAATCATCATTTATTTGATTTTCATTACTTTTCACGTTGCTCAATTGTGAAAACAAATCTCCACCTCATTTCGCACCTTGAGAATTTCGCGGATGATCCCATTTGTTCCTTGAATTAGCATGAGAAATCATTCTTCTGCAATGATTCAGCAAAACGTGTTAATTCGACTCAGTGGTCGTTTAACACACCCCCTGGCATTCGCTCGACATTTTCGTTGAATGGAATACCGAACAAACGAGTGACTAACTATATTGTTAACGACGTCGCGTTAATTTCAGATCGTAACGCGTTTATTAAGTATCGTTCGCAGAAAACTGGTTTGCGGGTCTTCCGCGAACACGTTTTACCACATAAACATCGTTAATCTTTCTGGTGAACCCGATCGGTGAAGTGAAATCTTATTGAGAAAACATGTACGCATGATTAATAGTCTTCCTCAACTTTTTTTGCTAGATTAAGGTCAGGTATCAATACTAATGTTGAGATTACTGTAATAATTTATGGGAACTAATATTTAAAAGAACGATTATATGATTATGAATATTTAAAGAGAATTAAATATTGATTCGCATAAATGACTTCAATTGAGAGATTTATAATTGTTGTGAATTTCAAGGAAGTAGAATTAATTTTCACCGGAAATAATGACGAGGTCTTTATTCCTTGATGGCCTCGTCAAACGTTTATAATAGTCTCTAATACTCTTGATAGCCTTAAGGTGATTCTGTACTTTCTATTTTCTCTATATTTGAATTGAATCCAAGGGATAAGTAGTAACAACAAGTAAATAGTTTATTGTCATAATATAACAAAAATTCTATAAATATATTATATAGATACTCATCTACATATTACAAAAAAATACTACAAAAAATTCAACAGAGAATTATAATAGTTTATCTAATATATAACACATTAGGTTGATTTCATAAATAATACAGGTACAATTTTTTGAAAAATGTAATATAGCCAATTATTTATTTCCTCATTGCTCAGCTTTTCTATTTTAGTCGTCAAACGTTTCTCATCTTCAATTCTTTAACACAAAGTTTATAGCTAAACAAGTTTGTTTCATTAAAAAGTCTTCTCTTCTCGACTATCCATCTTCCCCGGTTGTCTTGAAGTTTCTCGCTCAATCCACTTCATTTCTAATAACCGTCGTACCGAGTTCTGTAATTAGAAGATCGTCTCGGATAATAATTAGACGCGGAGCCTAACCGTCGATTGTTCTCCTGACGGTATCTAAACAGCGGCCTAAATATAATATCTTCTGCTACGTCCATGTCACCTGTTTCTTCGCCTTGATCATCCGTTAATGGAACCAGGTTCCATTGAGGCACCACAACCGGCGTCAGGATCGCCTCCGTTGCTAAGCTCGGCACCACCTCGTCCACGTACAACGAGATCGGAGAACTTCCAGGCGGCGAAGCAATCTAGAAATGAAAATAATTTTCTTTTCTATTGACGATTTATGTGAAACTGTTGCTTTTTATTTGAATGCCAGTATTGGAATTTATCTGATTTCCTTCTGTTAGAATGTTAGAAGATAGTCGATGTCAATTTTCGAAATTATTAATAAAAAATATACCTCAGGTGTCGGTTTCCAATAATAATTAGTGTTAACCGTTAACGAACTCCCATCGACGAAATCTTGAGCCTCCTTTTGAATCCGATCACTATTATCCTTCAAGAATTGAACTTGATTGTTCACTGGAACGTCGACGATTGGTTGATTAGGAAGGATAGCAACGATGGGACTCTTCACTTTCCCCTTATCGGCGTTCGTGGGGTCGATGACCGCCACGATCGGCACCGCAATCTTTTTCTCGGTGTCTTCCGGTTCCAGTAAAGCCGATCCGTGACTAAGCTCATTTTTTAAGAATTCTGTCCCGCTTTTACGTTTCTCACTCAACTCGTCTCGTTCCTCTCTATTTTCATCTTCCTAAATGGAGTTAATTTAATTGTTAAAATTAAATTGATTTATTGCAATTAAAGTGCCATTAATAATGCGTCTAATAATTTGTTTGATCATTCTTATATCAATTTATATAATCAATTCTTTTTATAAAAGAAAGTAATGTCCTTTTTAGGAATGTCCTTTGATGTCGTGATTCATTCAATTGATTGAATATAATTGATTCTTGTGAAAATGCGACTTCAGAATATTCTATCATCAGTAGAAATCTCTGATCAGATGGAATGTGTTTATTGAATTACTGTACATTACCTCTGGCGTGTATTCACTTGCGTATTCCTCGAAGAATGCCTGGTTCCCAGCCGTGGACGTCTCCCGAGCCTCTGCTTGCTTGACTTCGGTTATGTTCTTTCGCACGTCCTCCAAATTTTCAGTCGGAACCACGAGAAGGTGTTCGCGTTTCGAGAGCACCTTTAAAAGAAGCAATCAAATTTCAAAAAGAATAATGACAGAGTATCAATATTTCCATTAAAAAGAAAAACCAGTGGAGTCTTAACTCTCCCAACTGATTAAAAATCAATTCAGTATCAATTTAGAATCAAATGAAGAAGATTGCGTAATCTTGCTCGCACTAACCGTTTTGGGATCGGTAGCTGGCATTATGAATACATGTTTCTTCACGACGAGTCCATTTAATGAACCATTGTTCACCGCGTTGTGCACGGCATCCTGGACGACGGGGTCCTGAACAACGGCGGCTATCGTCTCGTTCTTATCGCGCGGATCCGGTGGTAGCAAACCCTCCACATCTTCGGGGGTCAAAGCTTTTGCCGTTGAAGATCTCGCGTAAAGAATTAAGATGAAGCAGGAAGTAAAAATGGTCATCTGAAAAAATAGAATGGAATGACATTGTACGTTAAAGTATTGCACAATGTGAACGCAATGATCTACTAAGATGATCTAACATGGTGCAATAAAAGTTTCGTCTGATTGTAAAGTTATTTCCTTAATTTACTTATCAAATTATTTGTTTTTTTATTCATTTTTTAATACCAGTTTGTACATCATTGCTGTAGTCACAAGGTGCGTCACAGGATTCTGGGTGTTTCTCAGGTTTCTTCAGTTCCCTGCTATTCGACCAAACTCCTTTTTGACTCTGACTAGTGATAACGGTCCGCTCACGTTTTATACCAGATACCGAAAGAATTATCGTTGTCCTGCTAACAAATGTGAATATCAACCTTGCGGTACATCACTTCGACTGCACCTTGAACCTGTCACGAAAGAATTAAATATTTTGCGTTTAGATCTACTTTTGAACTGCGATTTTTAGTTAGAAATTAATCTGAAGTTGATCTTATCCTTAATGCAAAATATGTACAGTGACTATTAATAACTTTCTCAGATACATGATATGAAAATTTTTATGTTGAAGCTTGTTATTTGTTTTGTAATTTTTTTAAGAGATATTTTCAGTTCTAATTAAGATTAGATTATGTATTTTAGAAGTGATTTTTATTTGATAGATTATGTATTAGATTTATGTATGCATATAGAATGTCGAAATGGAAGATAATTGGAAGCTCGTGCGAAGGACAGATTTCATTCTCGTTATCAAATGTTCTGGAAATACACGTAGTTAAATATTGCAATTTACAATAAGCAAAGATTAAAACGCAATCTTTTTATTAAGTAAAAATTTGATGTTCTATATTTATCAGGCGCTAAAAAAGTATTCTATTTTTGGTGCAACCTTCAGTTTAGATTTCCGAATATTCGTTTTTCAAAAGCAATAAGCCAGACACTGCGTCAGCAAAACGTCATTCTGGAACGTATCGGACTCCTTTTGACACTAATTTCGCAGTTAGTACGCAGTTAATAATACTGTTTAGCGAACAATTTAACGACCGTTCTACTATACAGCCGGCTATAAAAGACGGAACACCGCCTTCCGGTTCAACAGTTACAATTTAGCTATCTCGTATTCTCAACTTTGAACCGACCATTAACAATAAAAAAAATGGATTGTCACGTTTACTTGTTCAGTCTAATTTGTATATTAAAAATGTTTCAACAATTGGAATGCGCTCCAACGACTTTAAATATTCCTGAGCTAAATGCAAGTTCAACGAAAAGTGACGACACTTTCAAGAATGGAATAAATTCAACAATTGTTAACTCGTCAACAAGTTCTGGAAAGAAAAATGAAGTTTCAACTACGGAGTCATCAGACGAGGGTTTGGAACGAATTGTGAACACTAAAAATGGGGAGGACGAAAATCAAGAAAGATCTCTAGTACAAGAGAAGTTAAGCAACAATCCAATGTCTTGGAGTCGTGTTAAACGAGATGAAGAAGACGATGAAGAGCCACCGTGTTCGCAAGACGACAGTGCAATTCAGACCGTGGATAATTCATCAGAAGATGAGACTGGGGAGGAAGAAGACTCATCAAGTGATACTAATGAAGAACCCTTTGGACAATCTGATTCATCGGATACCGAAGATAGGGAGGAGAGAAGCGCGTTCTTTGAAGGGGCTGAAGACAGAAGTAGATCCTTGTCTTCATGGTACGGGGCGCCATCGTTTGGTAGAAGATATTGGTCGAGTAACGAAAGGCGTCGAAAATTTTTAACAATTCCTATATTCACTGGCAGATAGCTTGTGCGTCAAGGAAAAATGTATTGACTATTTTTCAACATGTGTAATATATTTCTATTTATTTACAATGCTGTTTTATGTAATTAGATAATAATTTATTTGAAGAGATTTGAAAGTGGAGGAGAGGTGTGATAAGAAAAAATAAATTCAGTATGTTTTAATACGTATATTTTTATTCATTTACAATTAGTAGTTTATTTTGAAGAGATTCGAAAGTGAAGGAGTTGTGTGTTAAGAAAAAATAAATTCGCTATGTTTGAATATGTACATTTTTATTCGTCTGCAATTAATAATTTATTCGAAGAGATTCAGTGGATAGAAAATTTAAAGAATTGTTGTTTGTAAATGAGATTCTAAATATACTACTGTAACTGTAATTATTCTCACGTATGTAGATATTATAAATATATGTATGTACATATTTACCATTAAAAAAATTCGACATCTACACTTGACAAAAGTTTTATTCAATTGCAACCGATTGAAGAAAAAAGGTAATCCCTCTCTATTTAATTGATTTGTGATTTTACGTACAAAGTCTGTTGTTTAAAGTTTCGGAGATCGGAGACATCTTGTTGTTATAAGTAGACTGCGAATCTTTATGCAAAACAAACCATTTGTAATATCAACGTAGAAAATGAACTATAAATAGGAATTTCTTTTAAAAAAAATAATATTCATTTCACTTTTTATATTTTGTGTGACATTAAATGAATATTTTATATTTTCTGTACATACAATTTTTCTATAAATGTATAAAATCCGCAGATTAGTTAAGATATATTTTATAAGACAGACTAAGGTTTATTTGAAACATTTCGTTAAACGACTTACAGTTTGGGAAATAATTGCATATGTAACTTAAGTGGGATACCGTATATAGTATACATTTGTTAGGTTTATAGAAATGAGAAAATTATGTAGAGGATTGTCATGAGAAATTTATTGCATAATATTAATGACGATAAATACATAAAAAGAGGTGGTATAAATAGTAGTAGTTTACTGATGTTATAAATAATGCTTTGGTGGGCAGCTTTCTCTTAAAGCTAAAATTATATTACAATATTGATATGATAATTTTAGTTTATTTTGAAGAGATTCGAAAGTGAAGGAGTTGTGTGTTAAGAAAAAATAAATTCGCTATGTTTGAATATGTACATTTTTATTCGTCTGCAATTAATAATTTATTCGAAGAGATTCAGTGGATAGAAAATTTAAAGAATTGTTGTTTGTAAATGAGATTCTAAATATACTACTGTAACTGTAATTATTCTCACGTATGTAGATATTATAAATATATGTATGTACATATTTACCATTAAAAAAATTCGACATCTACACTTGACAAAAGTTTTATTCAATTGCAACCGATTGAAGAAAAAAGGTAATCCCTCTCTATTTAATTGATTTGTGATTTTACGTACAAAGTCTGTTGTTTAAAGTTTCGGAGATCGGAGACATCTTGTTGTTATAAGTAGACTGCGAATCTTTATGCAAAACAAACCATTTGTAATATCAACGTAGAAAATGAACTATAAATAGGAATTTCTTTTAAAAAAAATAATATTCATTTCACTTTTTATATTTTGTGTGACATTAAATGAATATTTTATATTTTCTGTACATACAATTTTTCTATAAATGTATAAAATCCGCAGATTAGTTAAGATATATTTTATAAGACAGACTAAGGTTTATTTGAAACATTTCGTTAAACGACTTACAGTTTGGGAAATAATTGCATATGTAACTTAAGTGGGATACCGTATATAGTATACATTTGTTAGGTTTATAGAAATGAGAAAATTATGTAGAGGATTGTCATGAGAAATTTATTGCATAATATTAATGACGATAAATACATAAAAAGAGGTGGTATAAATAGTAGTAGTTTACTGATGTTATAAATAATGCTTTGGTGGGCAGCTTTCTCTTAAAGCTAAAATTATATTACAATATTGATATGATAATTTAAATTAAACAATTATCTTACAAAAAATAGTAAAAAATGTTTGTATTCTAGCACGAGGAAAAATATTGTTACGAGTAAATCTGGAGGTTTTAGAAATATTAGATTAAACATCAGAGATGTTCCTGTTGTTTCGCAGTAAGTATGACGTTGCCGTTTGTCACGTTGTCGGTTGTTAGCTCGTCGAATTGGCAGCCGTAGTATTTCTAACGAGCGCGCTAAGTGGCGACAGCCTTCTTCAAGTACGTTCTACTTCCGTTTTCGGTATCTCGTCATTGTACTTTGAAAAGATCTTTTCCAAACGTTACGAAGTTCATCTTCGAATGTTGTCAATCTTTCAAGTTTTTCCCAAAACTCGAAGAATTCTCTTCTCCAAAAAATCTTTTCGGATCTCGTTAAAAACCAATAATCCCCGAATGCAGCTTCCTTCGGCTTTGAACGTTCTCTCATTTCTGAGGCTCGTTTAAATTCCTTGAAAATTGCAACGTCCTGCGCAATCCCAATAAAACTTCGATTCTCGCTTTGACGATCGAATACCCAATGAATGCCGTTCCTCGCGTTTGTTCGGCTTCCGACTCGGTGTCCATTAAAGTCTGTCGGGTTGTCAACAGCATAACCAGCCTATCGAACATCGCTCAGAATCGGTTCCTGCGGCGTTGTTTGTACGCCAACTGCTGCCGGTAGACGAACAACGGTCGCAGAGCGTAAGTACCAGCCGCCGTCTCCAAATCCTGTGCGTCCTCCTTCACACTGCGCTTCTGCACCAAAGTGCCAGGAGTCTCGTCCGGTTTTTGTAGAAGTACGTATGCCACCGGAAGCGAATCCTCTCGTTTATTCACGACATGGTCTTGCTTCTGATAGAAAACGGGAATTCCAACAATGGAATCCGGGTTGTCCTCCAGCTGAACCGGAAATGCGGCGCAGCAGGAGAAGAACGATACAAGGAAGATGATTGCTACGGTTTTCTGCAAGAAAGATAAAAAATTCGTTGTTTTTTAAATATCGATCTCTGCTGTTTCAGATTTATTCATTGGCAATGACTTTAGATTTAGAATATGCAAACTTTTTTTATACGTCTTTTTAAATATTGCTTTTAACAAAATTCTAAACGTACTCATAGAATTTTTCTTAGAGAGATAAATTATTTTAAAGAAAGGAATCTTACCATCTTGTTACTTTGAATCCTCTCGAAGTTCAGAATAAATCTTCCGGTGTCCAGAGCAACGAATTACACTGGCAAGAACTGTTTTTCTCTTACTCGCGAAAACTTGTACGGAAATAGAGAAGAGTTGAAACACTGGTACTGGACGGTGCTCGGTTTAGGATAGTCGCGCTGGATCAGCTTGAGTTGTGTCCGGACAAAGCATCCTTGCCGGCATTTATACGAAACTATATGACGTCAAACGGGAGCACGCTAATCGTACGGTGACGTTCCCTGGCAAGTGATAACTGACCTGGTAAACCAGAAACGACTACGCGTCCTCTCTTGTCTGTTTATTTTCTTCTAATGATCAGGTGGCCTAAGGGCCAGCCCGGGGGTGGAAGCGGTCTTGAGAAAAACCGTCAATGGCGTCAATCCTGATTAAACAGACACGCGAATCTCCGTCTCATTGCTCATCTGTTTGATCGTTCGTTTAACGACTGATGATTACGTCCACCTTATGATTCACCCTCGTATTTTCGCAGAACGCGGCGATACTGCGAGCCACCGTGTTCGAATTGCGCAACGCTCGAAGCTTCTTACTCTCGTCGTACGACGTTCTTGTTTAGTACAATCCGGACATGCATGTGTTAATCGTTTTGTTCATTGGCTAGTACGATTGACAGATTGCGGATGTTTGTGCAAAATTCATGTATGTGTATTCATGTACTTTTTCTGCCTACCAAATATTTGAACATATTTTTGGAACTTTATTTTGGATCTTGCATACTTTTATGTACAAATATCCGCAAGGAATAAACGTCATTCTCAATTTGAATTTATCAAATTTCATATAGCTAAAAATAGTTATTGTTGCATTTAGGGTGAGTATTAATATAGTATTTTATTAATCACTGGAGATTAGACAGATGTTAATTCTGTTTATGATGCATTCGTAAGTCGTATAATAGATAAAGAAACGGCTTTACATAGGCGTTAATTCTGATTTACGAGCGTGTACATGTTTTATCGCTTGTTGAGTTTTATCAATCTGAGAAATTGGAGATGAAGAGAGGTGTTAATGTAACTGAAACGAGGAATTAAAGTGTCGCCAGGTTTAATGGTACATCAGTCAAATCAGGATTTTTTAAATACAAAATTGATCCATCATGAAATGATCAAAAGTAACCAATAATGGATAACACAATTAGATTACACGGTTGTTGTTTTTTTTTTAATAAAGAATACAACAAACAGTCGATTTGAAGGAACAGTAAAAATTACATATTATACATGTGCTAAAAATTTATAAATTCATGATCTTAGCTTCTTAATTTTGATTACAAAAATTGAGAAACAGGATAATTGCGAAGAACGTTTTGTGTCATTCAAAACATCGAGTCAAAAATATGTTTCCTATTTCCGGAAACAGATTGATTAATTTTTTTCAGTTTTAACCATTCGTCAGTTCGAATAATCTTCAGCTTGATTAACGTGTCCGTTTTTTCTCTTTTTTGATTTTTTTAAAGGAGGGATTCGATTCGAGGAACCGTGTTTTGCGTGTTTCGGTTTTGTTTCTTTTCTTTTCTCGCGCAAGTTTTACTTTTTTATTGGTTCGTTTTATTTTATATCGCAGGTTCAGCCTCCTCGTGCACGGTTTCGCTGGTTTCGGTAGTAGTTTCGCTTTTAGATCTGAAAGAAATCACCAGATGAGGGTATTTCGTGGCTGCTGGGAAGACAAGTACGAGATATTTTTTAAAAAACAAGCACAAGGCAAAACGGATTAGTACAGAGAACACGTTAGAGTTGTTAGTAGACAATTCAGGGCCGCGATCCCGCCTCGGGTTCGCTCATACCAATCTTCCCGTGAGAACTGTTAGGTGAAACATAGGGGAGGGTCCACCAGTCGACAGATTTCAATTCGTGACAAACCAGTTTGAAGAAGCATCTCGCAGTTCGAGTATAACAGAATTGAAATGTTTATTTTATTTAACAATTTCATTAATTTTATAAAAAAAAAAGGAACATCAGTCTTTAAGATCCGAATCCTGTTGGCTGGTTGCGTTAGTAAAAAAGTAGGGTGGTTGAATGAAAAAAAAGTTGGAAAGTACGAAAAAATCCTTTCCTGTATTGATCTAAATATGCAATCGGGGAACCTCGTCTACGAGTTCTTGCTTATTTTCATTTCTTGCTCTCTACAATTCGGTAGTAAAAAAAAGAAGAATATTTGCGTCGTGAGGGCATCGACGTGGCCACACTTTCTTATTTCTGTTGCCGCTTAAATATTAATTTTATTGCATGCAAGCCGGTTTCCTCATGCCATTCCTTATCCTGTCGGTTCTAATCTCTTCTAGCCGGGGCATGTAAAGAAGCGAAGTGACCATGAAATCGCATTTGCTCTGTAGCCAATTAGACAGACTGCAAGAAATCTTCTGTTTCGTTTTCGAATCGTTTTCTCATTTCACTTCTTTCGACCCTCTTCTATGATCCTTCTAATTCTACCAAGTATAACGTATGTTTTCCACATTGTCGTGTATGTGTTCTCGCGTTTTTTTCTTTATAGACTTACATTTAAAATACCAAAAATCTACGACGGTACATTGTGAGTATAGTTAACTGCGTTGGAGTCGAGTCGCGAGGATGCAGTTTTTTTTTTTTAAGGAGAAGTAACTTCCTACCGTATTTCGTTCGCTTTGTCCAACAAGGGACAATTACGGATCGCTATTTTAACCCCTGATTTTCGTTTTACTGGTTTCATTTCACGTTTCGTTTGCGCAACTCGATTCTTAGTTTTATGCAGTGCGACTGTCGAACCACGAGAATATTCCGATTACAACATTTCATTAATGGACAATTGTATGCGTTTGCATTTCCGGAGAATCATAGCGGAGCGTTAAATCAAGTTGGTGTTTCATTCAGGAAGTGAGTTGCTGACTACGGTATAATAATTCAAACCACTACGATTCTCGTGGCATAAATTATGAGTGATGTTATATCTACGAAGGTAAAAAATCTCGTGGTCGGATCGCTCGACAGTCACCTGGCAATAGATTTACTGGAACTATTATCTATTTCTAAATATATATATACTATATATATATTATATATATATTTATAAGTATATATTGTCGGATATTAAAGGATTCACTTGCTCGATGACCTACGCACTTTCAAAAGGCGAGGGGGTTGCGTAAAAAGTGTCTGTGACCATTTTAAAAAACGCTATTACCGGTATACGTATATTCTCACTATGGATTTTCCATTTTCCCTTCCTTCTCTTTCATACGAGTAGGCACTTAGCTATGTTTCCTGCGGTTTCCTTTTTAATCATTAAATATCGTAAAACATTTTATCGTCTATTGTACACGACGGAGAGAGATTTACCGGTTGGAGAGAGAAACGGATATACTGTCTTACACGAAAACCTGCCCTCTTCATTTTTCTTTTTTAAATCCTCCTTCGAATCCGATCGTCCGATTTTTATATAAAAAATGTTTCTACCGCGATCGGCGAGGTACCGCCTTTAAAAACTTTCTTTCTCTTTCTTATATTAATCTTCTAGGAGACGAAATGTAGGAAAATGTTCGTACGAAATCGTTACACTTAATTTGTCTCTTTCCTTATTCTCACACTTCTTCGGTTCACGCTCGCTCTCTCACGCATTCATGCACTTCGAGGCGTGTCACGTTTTCTTCTTTCTTTTTGCTTCTCATTTCTTCGTTTCTTGTTTTTGGAACTTTTAATTAGCACCGTGTCTTTCGTAGTTCTCCGGAATTTTTTTACTTCACTTTCGCACCTTCACACACACATCCTATCATTCACTCTTCTTCTATTTCTGAGGAAGTTCCCATTTTTTTTCCTATCAAACTGCGGATTTTTATAGTTCGATACAACCCCGAGTCTGCCAATTCATTTCACTGTTCTTTACATGTTTTGTGCACACTTACGTGGTTCTTCATAAAAATCCGCAGTCTGTTAATTAAAAAGTCGGTGGAGATTGAAGAATTTTTAAAGGGAACGCGCGGCAATAATATAAACGTGAAAATCAGGTAACAATACAATTGGTGCGCACACATACACAGAAAAGTGAACTGTATGTTGCATCGATGACAGAATACTGTATATTTAACATTGAGAACGTTTTTTAAAACATCGCTTCGAATGGAAACGTGATGACATCTATTCTTGGATAAAATCGTGATTATGCTCGGTGCATCGTGAATGAACATACGAATGCATCAAGGATTCTACGTCCATACGTGAAGATCGTATTCCAAATTGTAATCTACAGCTAGCGACGTAGTACAAAAGTACAAAATACGTTTCGTTCGTGTTCATTTCTTTTGTAAAAAAGTTCTCGAAGCGGGGATTCTCGCCTCTCATTTTAAACTTCATCTTGGAACACGATCCGTTAACTCTTCTGAGATTGATGATCGCGATGACTTACGTAAAAGCTCAGCTTAAAAGTAGAGGACTTCGTTTTCCTTCTAACACTTTACGCGATCCTTACTTCTTTCAATTCTCATTTTTTTCTAGAAGTAATTAGACGTACTCAGTCTTTCCGCATAGCTCAGTTATTGAGCAAATTCGTTAGAATTCGATTTTCTTTTTTATTCATTCGTTTCCAATTAGCTCTCGGCACTCTGGGCTCGTAGTTCTCAGCGCAAAGAATCGAGAGAGTATATAAAATAAAATCTGTTAAACCCAATTCAACATTATCAAAACCGATTCGATGGGACATCAGATTCTATAACTAATTTACGCATAAAAAATTCTCGTTGGCTACTCACTGTTTGGCACTCGAATCGATATTCTTCTCGCACGTAATAAGAAAAAAAATAAACACAAGACACGATAATATTTGGGACATCGTGTGACGAGCACCGTAACAAGTTTTCTTACATCGTTGCTAATTACTTCGGCACCACGCGAAAACTCGTTAATTATCCATCGTCCGTATACCAGTCGCGTGTTTCTCATCCTGTGTAAAAAATGATCCTCTCAAACTACTATCGAGTACAAAGTGACTCATTTTACAAACGGTTTACTTTAAGAAATTGCGCGAATTTTGTTACAGATGCAAGCGCATCCAAACATCGAAGGCACCAGTTGCCATATTAAAACGGAATTATGTGTTACATAGTTTCTACTAGGGAAGAGAGAAAACCGAAACGTTCGTCGTTTTCTATAGCCCCAGGAACAAGTTTCGAACGAAATCGATGGTTTTCAGTACACAGAAATCATCGAGGAAGAATGCCTTGATTATTAATAACGTATTGATCAAAAAGCACTGATACATTTTTCGGCACTCTTTTTCGGTGGTTCTGCATGATATCGGACTACTGTCAAATGGTGCGTCACAGGCATCGCTATAAGTTCAATTTTTGCCCCGTCCGTGTAATCGTTCTATTGAATAATGGACTCTACTTTGATGGAAAAATTGTTTATAAAGAAAACATTCGTATAGTGTGCTATAATAATCATATAAAGTTCATTAACATTTTTCTACGTCTATCACGAATAATATTTAATTAGATTCTAGCAATGATGAACGGGTGCTTACAAACGCTAAGCGAAAGATTTTGGTACCCTGAATAATATAACTCCTAACAGTATACCACTTTAAGGGAAACTTATTAAGGACTCAGGATTTGTCTCATCCCTGATTAAAAATTCATTGTTAAAAATTAAATATCGATAACAAAAAACTGTATTAATTAAATTAAAGAAAACAACACTAAATTTTTATTTAAGTGTTGTAAGAAGTAAAAAAAATGGTAGCTAATTAATACTTTTAATCGCCTCTGTACTGATTATTACTTTCGATTGTAAATAGTCGATTTCACTTAAAGAAACTTCGTGTGTAACGTCTATAATATATAAGAGTTTACACGATCGTTATCATGCATGGATATGAAGACATTGACCGTTCGCTTGGTTTAGATTTTCACGCGTGCTTCCTTTCCCGATTTCTAGAATCCACTTTATCGCTATTGAGCAAATGGAAAGTAAAAACGTGCCCCCCAAATTAGAGCAGGAAAATTGCACGCAGTCAAAATCTAAGCTAACGCTCTTCTCATTAAACCATATAATCGAAAAAACACTGATATAAAAATGATCTACACGGCTCCTTCAAACATGATTCTAATAACAGAAACCTAACGAAAGGATTTCTTAAAAAAGAAATGTATACCTTTTAGTACGCTACATACTCATTGAGTGAATCACAATACAAAAATACAAATAGATCTCCCTCTTATCTTTCGATTTCATCGACTCTCAGAATGCTTCCCTCCTTTTCTTTAGCTCCTGTATGGTGCAACACTGCTCTTTACAAAATGCACCTCATCAGAATAAGTTACTTCTCGTTAACTGTTCCTTTTATAACCAGCGCATGTATCTCTCCTTTTGTCGACTCAATTGATGGTCTCTCTCGTTTGATACAACGCCTCACGACGACTCAGTGTGTGTATATGTGTTTTGCTCTGTATTACTTAACATCAAATGCTTCTCCCTGCATTAATTACCCTTTATCTCTCTTCCTCTTTCTCGAAACGCCAATCAACGACGTGTGCAATGGAACTGTTAATTATCTCGTGGTGAAAGTAACTATTCTCGTGTGTGCGAATCATCTATTATCACTGACAAGCTCGATGGTCCATATACACGTGTGACATAGAGAAACAATTCGGTCCTAACCACGCATGAACAAATAGCCACAGATTGCTATAATACCCCCACCAACGATTGCGGCGCCTATGCCTATTGTAAGGGGCTTAAATAATGACCTCTTGAGCTTCTGCCATTCTTCAGTCTCCTTTTGTCGGCGCTTCATCTCGCGTACTTGTGCTGCCAAACGTTCCTTCTTCTCTTTGTTACGATGACGTAGTTCGTTTTTCCTGCATCAAATAATACGAATTTTATTAGAAACATAGAACATACTCGCGCAACTGTTTTCTTTATTTTTTCTTTGGAAACTTACGCATCTGGGCTAGACGAAGGGCTGTTCGTCTGCACAGAGTCTTCGCCGTCACTGGTATTATCGTTAGACACTACGATACCATCAGAGTTTTGCTCGTGCACGTTATTCGTGACTACTGTGGAGTTTGCATTACTCTGTGGATTGGTGGCAGCTGCTTCCGTAGGAATCGAAGGTTCTCTAGGCAACGGTTTATCTGGTGGTCCACTTACTTCATCTGAAATTAAATAAAAAAATAAACCGTAACATCTCGAGAACGTACATTCTTTATCTACGGACTATTCACAAGTGCTTACCATTTTTCGTTACTGTATTCGAAGTTAAATCTGCCATCATGCTACGTGTTAAGGATTCACCTCGTGGAGGTGGCAAAGGAGGTGGTTCGTCTTCGTCTTCATTCGAAGAACTACTAACATTACTTACCACGTCGTAGTGATTCGTAACTACTTCGTTATTAATATTCTATAAATAGCACGGAAGTTAGTTAGAGTCGTGGATCGACAAACACGGCACAGTGGCACAATATTATTATAGTTAGTTTACACCGGAGACAAAGGTATTTCGACGACAGAACACTGAGACACGGAACGATAACATACACCCATTAAGTAGTTTCAAAAGGAGGAGGTGGCTAACAATATTGTACCACTGTGAATTGGTATTAGTTACCACGTTATTCGATGGCAACTGTTTTGCTCCTTCGATGATAGCAGCGTACGAAAATCTTAACTGATCCGGCGTTTGAATTAAACCCATTCTGTGTCTTCTCATTTCTATCAGAACTTCCCTTACGTTTACCGAATTCAATCCATTTTCTTCAATCTGTAACAAAGTAAAAAAGAACATTCATTCTATTCGTTATTCATATACTAATATTTAGAACACAGGAAGTGTAATGCTTACCAAAACAAGACACGTATCAACTAGACAAAATGTCCCTGATCTTCCAATTCCTGCAGAACAATGTACCACGGGAGGACCAACATTTTGATCTAACGCCCCCGATTGCCTGACATCAGTTAAAAAACGTAGAAAAGCCGTCGGACTTTGTGGAACACCGAAGTCCGGCCAAGTAGTGTAATGAAAATGTGATATTTCTCTACTCTCATTCGTTTCCACATCAGTTAACCTGTCGGATTTGCAAGCAATTAATTATACACCGAACGACATTCGTCATTTAATCTCTCGTTATATTCGTACTTCAATATCCTAGTTGTGTAATCGGACGATTCTGTTTTACTGATACATTTCACTTTTATATCGACGTCTGTATATACCATGGTATCGTTCGATTCGCACGCAAGAGGCCAATACTGATAGCATTTAACATGATTCTTCTCGATTATCTTATTTAACATTAACACAGCATTAGAATTTTGCTCCCATACCATTAGCCAAAAATGGCCAGCAGTATTTTCTAATGGTCCTTGTGTAAGGATGTATTGTCTACGGGCACGGTCTACCTGCAATAAACACATGCTCGTTAGTAGGAGTATTCTTTTTCCTTAACAACAGAGAGAAAAAAAGCATAGAAGATAGAGAACACTTGCCTTTATAAGGTTGGCATTGATATAGTCACACGGACCTCGCTTAAGGATGATCCTACTGTGATCATATGGCAAAACATCTCTGTAGCGGTTCAGATTTTTGTTCTGAGGCTTCTTTGATTCATTGCATGTGTACGTGAAACTGCTGCACTCATTACGTATATGCTATAATAGATATCAAATATTAATAATCCTCGTTTTACTTGTCAGTGTAAACATACGTTTTGCTTAGAAGCAGGTAAACAAATTTCACACTCCTAGCTATCAATACAAACACTACTACTAAATATATATCTGGCACATATATTTTAAACCGAGACGCACGACCTTGGCAGTAAAATTACAATGCACGGTCGACGGTTGCCTTTAACCTTTTTCCCGTGAAAACTGTTTTCTGAGAAAGTAAAACGATAGCCGGGGAGCAACGATATACAATCGATGCATTGTGAATATCTGCAGAAAAGCGAGCGTTAACGTGGTTACGACAGATAAAGAATAAAACGGAACGAAACTCGTTATCGTGTCGGATCGAATCGCGTCGTCGTCGCGTCGTGTAGTAAATCAAATCAGTTCGCGAAGTATAAATTAATCGAGCACGCTGTCGGGGAGAAATCGAACGGAGGAAGGAAGTCGTGAAACGGGAGAACCGAGAACGATAGTTTGCACGATAAATAAAACGAAATCCCGATAACAGACGTGTGACATGCACCGCAAGCTGGTGCATGGTTTTGAATTCCCGTTCGATGACGACGGTTACAAAATTCGCGAGCGTACCGCGAGATCTCGCAACAAATGATAACCTGCGGCCAGTGTCCACGTTCAACGTAGCCACGATTGGCAAACAATTCAGCGATACGTTCGCTCTCACGGTTTTTTCGAGCGGTGAAGGCAGTTCGAACGTCTGTCCAGGTTCGACGACGCGGATCGACGATACGTTTAAAACGATCGAATAACCTTCTCGGCAAGGGTTAGACGGTTGAGACATTCGCGGAAACCGGAAGAAAAGACGCAAAAACGGAAGGGGAAAGGGAGGAAAGAGGATGTTTTACCTGATAGAGGATCGCCCAGGCTCCCTTTGCGTTGATCTCGAGGTACTCGGTTTCAACGTTGCTGACCCCTTGATCGCGCGTCTCCTGGCTGGTCATTCTGTCGGCTCGTTCGCGACTCGGTCTCTCCGTGGCTTGAAAACAGCAAAACGAGACAAAGCACGCGAAGAGGCTGGGCCCCGGCCGTGCGCGATCCTGCTCTCTCTGATTCCGATGAAGAGGCGTCTCAAGTCTCAGGCGCGGAGCGGTTCCATGCGTGACGCGGACTCTCGCGAAGGGTAGTCCCCGCCGCACCGGGACGACGAAAACGTGTAACCCCACAGCACCCACGAGCAGAAGAGCACGTCTACCTTCGTTCTTTACACACTGGACCGCTCTCTCTGCGCGGAACCCGACCACCGCACCACCGATTGTCCTTACCCGCCGCTACAACCGCTGAACCGCTGTAACTGCAATCAGCGCGAAATACGAGCAAACGTGCTGACATCTTCGCGAAATTACACCATCTCTCTCTCTCTCTCTCTCTCTTTCTCCTTATTCTTCCTCTTCCTATGTGCTAGCATCGAATCGGATCGGAGAAATAATAGCCGCCATATTACGATAGTTTACGCCTGCGTCTCGGCAAGCGCTAAATCAAATTTCATTTCGCGAATTCACTTCTTTCTTTTAGAAATCATCAAAAATTCACTCGTAAGAGGTAATAAATAAACGAAGAACAACAGTTCTCAAAATATAGAGGTAGTTTATTTGCAATACTAAAGATCACACTGGAATGCATTGCTTCCATATTATAATTTATAATTGATCATGGATAAGTTTACACATGTAATGACTACGAAGTACATAAGTCAATGGTAATTTAAATAAATAAGTATTCTTTAAAAAGTGTCGACAAAATATTAATATTTATATGCTAGTTCTATGGAAATAGAGCTTTCTCTGGAATTGTATTACGTGCTAGAATATACACGTAAGTTTATTCTTTTTTTGAGATCTTTTCATCGATTTCGTCATCTTTTTCAGATTTTATAGCTTTCCTCTTAGTTGCTTCTGCAGACCCCTTCTTCAACCAAGAAGCCATAAAGCTACTAGGGTTGTTTTTTTTCTCCTCTCTGTATAATAGAATTAGTAAATCAATAGTCTGGCATACCATTTCATAGACTTAAAGGTTTGCAACTCTAACATTGAATGGTTAATTTTTCCATTCTATACATGCGCACGTTGTATACGTACTTCGTCTCTTTTCTGCAATCTTCACTTTTGCATAATACATTATTTACAACAGTTGATACCGTATGCCAATTTAAATCACCTCTTGATAATGTCAATTTGTTTAATTTGTCAATAGCTTCGGCTACTGATAGCTTTTCATTCAACCAAACCTGTTTCAGATATCGCAAGTGTATAATAATAATAATATTCCGAGAAATAGCAACAGATTAAAACGAGAAAACACATTCTCTTACGTGCGTATCTTCTTCATTTTGTAAAAACACAGGTACTCTGTGATGCAACCAAGAGATCACACTGTTCGCATCAGTTGTAATTATTGAACAGCTATATATTACTTTGCCCTGAAATATAAATTACTCCAGCAATTCCTATTTTAAAGGTAAACGTGTTGCGTTTACCTCTGCAGTTTTAAAGCGATTAAAAATCGCAGCCATCTGTAAAGTCTTTAATCCTCTCCAACCATCCTCCTCGGACCATTCATCCTTCCAGGTCGAAGGATCATCTGCCCTAACACCTTTATCTTGAGGAGCATAGATATAATAAGGCTGTTTACGATCTTTTTTCGATTTTCCAGCCTTCCATTCGTAATACCCTTCGCAAACTACAACGCATCTCTGTCCATTGCGAAGCGGTCCGCTGTACAATTTCGAACTGCTAATATTCTCCAAGCGCGCGTTGTGCGTTAATAAATTATTCTTCTTATAATCTCCCTAAGAGGTCGGAAATATTTTTATCCTGGTAGTAATAAAATTGTCATAACGTATTGTTATCTCGCGTTAAAGGGAGACGATAAGAGCTGTTCTGCGTCAACCCATCAATCGACAATTAAAAAGAACTGCGACCACGTGAAACCCCTACCCGACACGAAACGTCACGCAAGCTAACCGTGTTTATAACACTGACCTCGTGCCAGGGTGGAATCATGCTCCACATCATGGCACAAAGGACTCTATCGTCCTTGCTGTCAAAATGTGAACCAGCGACAAGGCACGGTAAAACATCCTTCGGCCCGATGTTCGTCGACGGAACGTACTCGACGTCGCTTTTCGTCCACGAGGTTGTGCGTCGTTTGCCGACTGCATCCTTGTAGCCGCAAGCACGACGCAAAGTATCGGGGTTCAGCGTGCTGCAACATCATCCGCGGGTTTCCTTTGTTGCGCTCGTACCGCGATACTTGCGTGTCACGAATTAATTACTGAAATTACGTGACGTGATTACTTACCAAGCTGATCGACCACACATGTTCCTCGCGCGTCACTCACTGTATCGCTGACAGAATAAATAGATTCGACAGTTCGAGAATTTGCAGATTCTTATTCTTGGAAAATGATGAACTATTATATCACAAATGCAGAAAATGAAGGTTCTTGTACTATTTTAAGCAGAGAGGTAATGAGATTGTTTACGCTTGGCATTTCGTGGTTCCCGAAGTGCTTTAATAGTTATCATAGACAAGATATACATACATCAGATTCGTAATTTTAAATTTCCGCGCGGTAGTCTCATGAGCACAAGCGCAATCCTCGCCACGGCAGCCTTGAAAATGGCCTTGAATGCCCCAGCACTCCGCGTATGGCCATGGTTGCTAGGCAACCCGGCCATGATGATGTATCCCCCATTCTTCTGGTTCAGTGTTGGGTACATCGTGGGATTTTTGGGGCGTACGCACTGGAAGTTACTATATAGTAGCAGCCGAGTGACGTACATATTTTTTCAATTTAAAAGTTCCATTAGATCCCGTGTGCGAAGATAAACTTCGAATTAAAACTAATCTCGAAAATAAAATATTACGTTATCTGACTACATGATATTTGAAATAATNCTTAATTCATCTTAACATTCATTAGCACGTACATTAAATTATTGAAAGAAAGGAGTGATAATACCCGATCTTAGATACCCACTTTCAAAATTGGTCAGTCGGTCAAGAGTCGTGAAATAAAAGTCAAGATTTGTGTCCATTCGTGTCCAGAATTTTTGTTGGCTGATTATAAAACTACCGAACCGGAAACCGAAAACGTAACATTGCAAGAAATTTTATATACATTTTTATTTTAATTTAATTTTACAATTGTTATACAGCGATCTTTTGCACTATTTCGTTGAAATTTATATGTATGTACACAAACACATTATGAAACTGTAAAAGATGGTAACTAGTATGCCTGTAAATGTATGAAATTAATAAAAACGGTAATGAAAACGAAACATTAACTACAGCTCTGAGAAGCAGCTCAGCTAATACGTATAACATGACAAAACCAGATTTATTTCAACGCACAAATTTTAGCTTTACAATGATCTTCAAGTTGATTACGTCATACAGTTAAAATTTATCAAAAGAATTTTAAAGCCTAAATTTGATAATTTCGTGCAATACTCATGCAACAAACAAGCGAGATACAATTAGCGAGTTTAACTTGTTCAATAATCGATTTCGTTATTTGTAATTGTATTATCATTGTCATGAGGAAGCAGTATCGCATCTAACGCTTAAGAACGCGAAGTTAAAAAGAAATATGTACATGATTATTATGCCCGTAATACTTTGTTACTTGTCGTTCTTAAAACTATATAGTTATTATGCTTCAATACGCTATTGAATTATTAATATCTGTGTGATACAGATAAATAATATATGATTCATATTAAAATTAAAGTGATGTGACAGCGGTGTTTATCACCGGATATAAAAATACAAATATAGAATTCTTCTAACACAGAAATCGGCTCGCATTTTCTTTAAAGTCCCATTGCCTGTGTCGCGCTTCGCGTGCTAGATGAATGATCACTGCAGAAATGACGAACACACATTCATATCACATATACATATATATCCTAATCGTCGTCATTCTTAAGAAACTGATCCAGTGGATTGGGACCCATTCTCTTCGGTTTACTCGTAGACACTTTTTCCGTGCTCTCAGCTAAAATAATTCAGCGTTTATTAATTTTTACGAATTTTTGAATAAATTTACATAAAAGGACAAGAGATAATCACATGTTGTTGGTCGCTGAGCATTTAAACAGCTGAACCATTCTGTCATACTGATCTTCCTATCATTGTTGATATCACAGTACCTAGGAAGTCTCTTACCGCACCTTTGAAGTTGCCTATTATTCGCAACCATCGTGCGGAAGTTTTTCCATTCTTTTTTTTCTAGAACCTGCAAGCGGGAAAAATTACACATTCCTCTCTAATCGATTTATTCGATTATACATGTACTTTATCTTTATCCTTGCCTTATTTTTGTTCTTGTCAAGCATGACGAAATGCCAAGTGGCTATTTGTTCTTCTTTCGATGCTTGCCACTTAGCTGTCGTCTCATCCGAGTCCGTGCCGGAAGCCTTCATCTTTTTGTGCATTAAATCCATCAAATCTCGCAGAAACAATTGTTTCTTTTGTTCAGGACAACCTAACGTCGTACGTTCAATGTTGTTAAATTGAAAAATGTTAATTATTATTTTAATACGTATTTACAATAAGATCACTGTTCGATTTGTTACCTTTCATAGGTCTGCTGGGAGTGGGCACTGGATTGCAGTTTGGGGTACGATCTTTGGAAGAAGTTCCAGGGATTGGTTTCCCAGTATCTTGATATACACACCAACAATAACCAGAGTAACACTGTACCCGATTATATCTTCCATCCGGTGTGCATTCAGGCACGTAAAACTTCTCCTGGGAGTTTTGCCTGACGTCTTCTAACACGGATCGTCTGTCCGTCAAACAATCGTTTGCTGTAAATTTGATATCGATATTGTACGACCCAGAAGTCTATGAACATGAGGAATAATGCAATAATGTAGCTCATGAATAAATAATTTCAATAACTGAACTAAAACAACGAACATTGAGATTAGCAACTGAAGATTGAAATAGATATTAAATATAAACAACTGTACACACATATAACATTAATTTGAAATTACAGATCGTCAAAGACTACATAATGTACAAAAAAATACTGACCATCGCTATCTTCTTTCGTATCGATTGGATCGTCGTTGAATGTTGGTCGGGAATGCACTGGAGCCAGATTGCCTTTCAATACTGTAAAGAATATAAAAATAATATCCTTACGAAATCCTGTCTTTTCTTATTTAATGAACAAGGTATGACAACCGGTTCTCCTATGCTAATTACAAAATTAATGTTAATCGTTATTTATTATTGAAGAAAACTTTTTCGGAACTCGAAGACATATTCTGTCTCGATATTCACAGAGTGAAAAAGTTTAATTTATACAGCCGGTGATCGTTCCGTACTATTTTGTTAATATAGCTGTTAATTTGGAAAAAGTAGATGTGATATGTACACTCGCTGATGACTCCACAATATCGTATTTATATATTTTTTGGAATTTTTGAAAAACCGTCACCACCCGAGACAAGACTCACACACAGACTCATACATTTTTTGTACATTTTCTTTTATTATTTTTCTTCTTGTATGTACATACACAGAAAGCATGCATATATCATTAAAGTATAAGCATTTACGAATGCCGAAATATCGTACAGTATTTACTGCCTTGCGTTTTTAATTTTGTACAAAAAGTATTGATTACGTGTTATAAAATTGATGTGTACAAATGGGTGGTGACGAATTGAAATTATAGAAAATTTGTCTCGTATCAATATAAATAATGGATTTATTGAAACAGAGTAGTGCCACGAATAAGTAATTGTTCCATAAAGTTGTGCGAGCGTGCTCGAATGTCTCTGTAAATGACATTTTAATAGTTTGACAAATTGACGTGTTCATGTTGGGAACTGAAACTTCCTCTTTAAATACATATGCATCATTTTCAATGACACAAATAAGCGAAATTAATTGTAGGGACGGACGAATTTAAAATGATTTGGCTACAGGAATTCGTACGGATTTTTTTATGCAACATTTTTTAACTGCTAGTTTAGATTCAGACGTTTAAAGATTTAACGTAATTATTGATTTTATTCTTGTTCGCTATCTATGAAACATCTCTTTATTAGTACGTTTTTTCGTTTATTTCCACTTGTCATTTATCTACAATAAAAATCTTAATGTGCTCTACTTATAACGCAGACATTATCAGTCTATAAACTAGTCAACGTCAATGAACAGCCGACGACCAAGTATGGCGTAAGCAGTGTAACATTTGATATGACGATATAAACGTTTGGAAACTATGTATTAGCAACAATTATCTAAGTTGCGAATTTTTTCTACGCACCTCTTCTGTTCCGATTCTTTGTATTAAGCTAGAACTTAAATGACTGAATTAATATAAAACAAGTGGCCTTTTAACAAGTGATCTCTAGTGATGATGCCAATTTCATTTACAACGTGTAAAACAAATCACGTTTAACAAACGTATTTTAATTAAATTTTCAATTACAATCTTGTCATAAAAAATCCACAAGAATCCTTGTTGCAAACCAATACAACAAATACATTATGGGGAAGACGGAGCTATTTTGTTTTACGTGCAGAACTAGGACTCACCTTGGTCCATGACCCGAGTCCTCTGGGCCTCAGGGACCTCGGGACGCTCGTCTGCAGGGTTCAGCGACAAGAACAAACGTACTAAATGATAACAATGATGTCACTCAGCCGACCGGCCTTACCTATATATGTACAATGTTTTTTTGTCATTCGCGCATCGCAGGTTTTGCTAGTAGAGCAGCGAGCGGTGGCGAATATCTGATTGCAAGGGTGGTCAATATTGTCAATAAGAGTTCTCTCAGGCAGCATCATCATCCATTCTCTTTTTCTCTCCTTCTTTCTAGCATACACCCCAAACACTTTCCAATCTTTTCACGTAAAAACAAATTACGTTTGCTAATGTATTTATCATCCGTTCTGATGGCGAAAGTGTTTTTCTCTTTTTAATTTACCAAGGAAATCATGCGCTACTTCTACGTACCCTGAAAGAAGGTCATGCAGCGAATTTGTTAAGGCACGTGTACTTGAAAATAAAATTCACCCTTCACGTACAACAATGAATAAATGAAAATAATTTGATCTTCGCGAATCTCAAATGTCCGAAAATAAAATTTGCCTTCCAGATTGTCTAATTACTTAAAGGAATGTAATGTCTCTTTCAAGTACATTTCCCAAGTTCCTGCAATTTGTTCGCTTCGGGGCCTTCGAGTAAGCGTCTAAGCGCGAAGATTCGGCAGGTGCATGCTTGTCTACGCATACAGTTAATTACAAGTAAAACATTTGAAAGTGTGTCGAAAATGGTTTTCCAAATAAGATACTGCGAGGAAATTGAAGTATAATTCTGAGAAAGAGTAGCAGTGAAGTAGTAGACGCGCGAATGAGTATATGCAGAGTTGATCATAGGGACGAGTAGAAGTTATAAGAACTGATTATTCTCGGGTCATACGAGTCGATATCGGAGAATCTTGAATCGAACGTGATTACTTAACATGCAATTGGTTACAATTCTACGCATGGTTCAATCTACGCGTGCTTCTACTCTAACATTTGCATCGTATACAATGTACAAGGATTGTACGTGCACATGTGTGTACATGTGTGCAAGCTACCTGCTTTACATGTACATAAAAATGCTAGACTCAAAGTCATTTGTTTGTATCTTAAAAATTCCTGTAATGCCATTTAATCTCGTCATTCTTCAAGTAGAGTGAACTATTTCAATTTATAATGAGTCCTAAATTAAAATAAATCGAAACCATATCGATTCCATAAATCAGTCGAAATTCATGCAATGAGATTATTGGTTGTACTTAATTTCGGGAACATGAATATCATTAGTGAAAGGAAATGCTTATGTTGCCTGCTGCTAACATAAAGTAGACACGCAGGCAGCATCCGGATATTCGATTTTGCTACACTAGCAACCGAGACGTTTAATCGTAACGTCACATTTAAGGGCTCACGCGATAGTCACGATGCAGCGTGGTGGATAATTTGAAATAATCCTCATTGCGGTTCGCGTGGGCGCGCGAATTTACGAAGCGACGAGCCGCGCGGGCGGTCATCCTTGTAGGCTAACCCGCGGACGCACGGTGCGCGCACGGTACACGAGGTCAATTGCTTCAATTCCGCGGTAGCCGGCCACAGTGTGGGCAAACTTCCGGCAGGATTCACGAATGTTAAGCGGGCTGTTTATAAAAGGCTACGACGATGGCTGGACCACCGAGAAGATGCTACTAAAGAGTAGTAATCGTAAACCCGTGTAATCATTGAGACAGCGAATGGGGCTCAAAACACCGTTTCAGCGGAGTTAGAAGGAAATTGCATAGGACTTTCTTTGTATCTGATAGCTGGAGCTACAAACGTTTGTCCCGCTTGGACTAAGAGAAAATTTTTGAAACAAACAATTTTATTTATTAATTAATTATTGACGCCAGAGAAAGAATTTGAATACAGAAGTTGTAGGCACTGACGTCCTCAATTAAAAGGTTTTATATAAATAAAAATTGCTGACTTTTGCGTGCGACACGAAGTCCCGTAAGGCCACTCTTTAGTAATTTCTCCTCGGTGGGTGGACCCTTGGCTTGACTTGGCGCGTGCGACATCCTGTCTCGGCTACCGTTTGTAATTTATACCACGATTTAGACGCCGAGACGACTGACCGCGACGACGGTCTTCCGGTATTACCCACAAACGACAATAATTGCGTTTTCTATTTGGTTATATCTATTACCGAATTCTAAGGGTTTCTATATTTTCTGAATGACACTCAGTATTTCATTCAAAGGAAAGGCTTAAAATTTTCCTGGACGATTAGAGGTGCGCGAGAACCGGAAATAATGAGAATCCGATGATCGGGTTTTAACAATTCCAGGTTCTCAGGCACCTCTCCTGTCGATACAATTCAGCTTTTGTTGATTTCTAACTCTGTTTCATATTTACCCATTAATCTACGACTGCATTTCTATTATTTATTTGTTACCGATTTTTATATTTTAACAATTAGATAATAAGGATTAACGATTCAAATTACTCTCATTAATATGCTCTAACATAGTGCCTAATTTGTAGAAAAATTAGAAGACTCCGTAATGTAGCTATATATTTAATTCGATTATTAGCGATTAGAAGTATATTTACATTTTAATACGTTTTCTTTCTATTTCCTTAAATGAAACAGTTAATGAACTGAACTGGATAAATAGAGAACTCATGAATCCGTGAATACTATGCGTAATGCAAGTATAAAAGCAGTACAACGGTAACCATCACCCAAGGAATGGAAGAAGTTAGAAGTACGTAATTGTTTGTAGATAGGCGATTGCAATGCGACGCAGATAAGTAGATCAGCGTATGTTAGCTAGCCTTGTATACGTATGTATAATATGTACAAGCACTGACGTTAATCCCAATTTACAGACGCTATAAAAATTATATCCGTAAATACGATTGAGTTTACGATCAACAGCATTTTATGATTTCGATTTTACTTTCTTATCACGAGCTTGTAAACATTGTCGAACGGAATTCATTTATTATAGTAAGTTTACTTAACAATTAATCAGTTTATTTTATAGTTTAGTAGATAGGGATTATCATCGTAATAAGCATTCTTGCACGAAGAAGATTTTGGATCCTTTCTTTGCCTTTCATCAATTACGAAAGAAAAGAGAATTACATATTAACATGTAATTCTAATCCAATTTCTTGAAAATCTATTTTTAAGAAAGCACGTGATATTGTAGTTTTGAAAATTTTCGTTTCATTCTGAATATCAG